TTCTTTCTTTCTTTCTTTCTTTCTTTCTTTCTTTCTTTCTTTCTTTCTTTCTTTCTTTCTTTCTTTCTTTCTTTCTTTCTTTCTTTCTTTCTTTCTTTCTTTCTTTCTTTCTTTCTTTCTTTCTTTCGAGTCAAAAACTTGTTTAGATGTGATTAAGTTCCTGAGAGAAGCAAGAAACAGTCAAGCAGCATCATGTCCTGAAAAACTCAAGTTTAAAATTGACACCAAATCAGATAAACTAATTTCCATCAAAAACAATATTTCTGATAAAGTTTTAATTTTTATTTTTGTCAAAATAAATTAAGTTCACTTTATTCATATAGCGCAAGTTCACAACACAAGTTTTCTATCTAAGGAAAACCAGCTGATTGAATTCAGTCATTGACCGTAGGGATTGCTTTTCCTAGTTGAACATGTAGCAACATCCAATATTTAGTTGCTTTGTGTTGCTGAATCGACAGCAATCCCTCACAATAAGCATGCATGCAGGGACAGTGGAGAGGACTGGTGTTTCAATGACAAAACACACGCACAGATGAAGAAAAACAAAAAGAAGCCATGAATCCCTTTTATGTTAGTAAAGTCAATGCTAAACTACCTCCGCATGTGGTTTTTCCTAGTAAAGAAACAGTGGAGCCAGTTTTCACCTCAAATTATGATTGAGAGCACATATAGTTAGCGTAAAAGCTCAGCAAATAAGTATGTTTAAAAGAGAAACGGGACTAAACCCTGAGAAACAGACACTTTACTATCTATAGTACTATCTAGTTGTCGATGGCAGTAGCCCAGCTGAGATTTGTCTCCAGAACGGTGTCAGTGCCAAACAGATGACTCTATTATTGCAAGAAAAAAAGCAGAGATTTGGTTAAACTAGCAAATTCTGAAGAATTGGGGAACACAACTATAGTGAAACAGAGTGAGGAAAAATGGTCCTCCAGCAAAGAAAATTCAAAAACAATCCACTGAACTTTGTTTCTAAATTTGAAGATGTTATGCTTCACATCCAAGAAGATTTTTCATTTGAAAAGTCCTCTAGCAGCTTAAGCTTATAGTAGGAAAACTACCAGATAACTAAAAGATCTGCCTCCCATTCTAGTTTTAGAAATCCCTGCAGATTGAGAGCAAAGTGCTCTGAGAAACATAAGGAACAAGGATTTAATGATCACTTTCTTGATTTTAAAATGCACTCTTGTTTTCTTCTTCAGCCTGTGAACAATGCAGATTTCATCATTCCCGTGGAAATAGACGGAACAGTCCACCAGGTAACTCGGTCATGCCGTCTCCTCCTCCTCCTCCGTCATTGTACCGTGGTTGTTACCTCCAAATTACCGAGTGTCGGAGATGTCCTCTGTGTTTAAGGGATTTTAAGTGACGGCTGCTCGTTGTGGGATGACATACCTCATGGCTCTGGGCCTGATTCAAGTAATCCAGGATAGGTTTGTTCAGACAAGCAAAGCCTGTTCCGGATGACTTGGTTCAGGAACGCCGGCCTCAGACACCAGTAGAGCCTCAAGAAGTCGACTGCTGTTCTGGCAGCGATCTGCACGCTTCCAGCAAGTCTGATGCTGCCCGCAGTGTTTGGTTCATAAATAATTTTCACCGTCTGTCAGAACGTTCCCCAGCCTGTCCTCATTCACCTTCATTCTGCCTTTCAATAAACGAGCGTCTTCCTGTTTTCCAGGTGTATGTCCTGAAGCGACCACATGTCGACGAGTTCCTGAAGAGGATGGGAGAACTCTTCGAGTGTGTCCTGTTCACTGCCAGTTTAGCAAAGGTGATTGTGATCCACCTCAGAGCATTTAACTGGTTTAAAAGGGCTGGAAACGGACAAAGATGGAAGAAGTGTAGTACGTATGTGGGAAAGTCTGACCTGCTTTGAGTAAATGAAAGAACAACAGAGAAGGAATTATGAAATAATGCCGTCAAGCAGGAACACAGAGATGATGCAATCGGTATAAAAGCACATATTCTCTTTCCTTTCAGGCGTGATAAATAAATCATTAAAAAGACATTTCCAGATGGCCATAAAGTGCTTCAAAAACAATATTAAATACAACAAAACAATATTTAAGCGAAATAATAGCAGGGATTTAGATTTCCTTTCTAACTTTGGGAATACTTTACAGACGACAAAAACGGGAATGAACAAGATCTTTAACGTAATTATTTTTTTCAGGGGGAAAAATCTGCTTTATTGTTATTTTTTTCTGGTGCAGAGATGATGACCTTGGTTTCATTTTTATTTAGCTGGAGAAAGCTTACAGAAAACATCCCGCTTTGAAACTTTGTTATGGAAGTAAGATGTATAACTGGATGTCATCAGCATAACAATGATAGGAAATATCCTTAAAACCTGATAATACTGGACCAAGTGTGAGCAGGTAGAAAAGAAACATTATTGGCTTGAGGCCACAACTCTGTGGAACTATAAAGTCAACAGGACAAGAACAATTTTTTGTGTTTTGAGTCTATTTTTATTCACTTTGTACATAGAAATGTTGGTAATTTGGCATCTTTTATCAGCTGAAGGTGTAAATCTATTCTGATTTTCTTCTTCAATATATTGGTTTTATTTTTAGAGGTTTGCAGAGATACCTTAACCTCTTGCTACTTGGTCTATACTCTTGCGGTATATGTTTGTTTTCATTTGTTAAGTGTCCATCCATCCGTTTTCTTCCGCTTTGTCCGGGGCCGGTTCGCGGAGGCAACAGTCTAAGCTGACCCCGAAGCGCGAAACACAAAGCGTCAAAATGGAGTTACAGAGAAACAGCCGTTATTTCCCAGTTTTGTTCCACCCTTGTCTCTGCAACGCCTCAACTTATCACCAAATCAAACATACTAAGAAAACGATAAATAAAAATAGCTGCAAAAAAGACTTAGCACTGGTTATGTTGTGGCTTTAAAACTGATTTGTTTTGTTCCCTGCTAAAACAAAGTTTGTGAATTCAGTTAAAAAATTGTTAAAATATATCTGTCATTTGTGTGTTTTTAGCTTTCTTCCTGTATGGGAAGCTTTTCAAAATTTGAAACATTAGTGCAGTGGTTTATGTTATAATAAACCTTTGGGTTAAGTTAGCGAAAGCTGATTTTTCTTCTGTTTCTTGTGAATTTGGTCTTAAATTTTTATTTCAAGTGGCATTAAAAAGTCTTATAAACTCTTGAATTTAACTCGCCGTATGCTGTAGGGACCCTGTTTTTAGATTATTGCTTTTCAACCTTGACTCAGAGCGGCAAATGTTCTGTGAACGTTTCTCTGAGGTAACGCCACAGTGATTCTCTTGTAACGCTGAACTTGTCTTTCCATCAGTATGCAGACCCAGTCTCTGACCTCCTGGACAAGTGGGGTGCGTTCCGCTGCCGCCTCTTCAGGGAGTCGTGTGTTTTCCACAGAGGCAATTATGTCAAGGACCTGAGCCGCCTGGGTCGCGATCTTAACAAAGTCATTATTGTTGACAACTCCCCCGCCTCCTACATCTTCCATCCTGACAACGCAGTGAGTGAAGCCATGATGGAGATGAATTCAGTGATGATAAAGAATTTGGGTTGGGTTTGATTTACAAAATGTATGATTTCTCATGAGATTTTTGAGTTATTCAGGAGGAAAACGATTACCAGTGAGAGAAAATGTTAATATCTTCTCTTTTATGGGGTGAATTTTGTTCCATTATTGTTACAGGTAAAGAAGACAAAAAAAAAAAAAAAGAAAAGAATAGAGAAATTAAACTAAAAAGATTTTAATTGGGGGGAGGGACGATTTTCAGATTAACTTTTATGTTTTCTTAGATTGAGTTTTTTTAATTAGGTCTTACAGATTTAATAGTTTTACGTTTTTTTTTTTTTTTATAAAAAAAAAAAATATATATATATATATATACTAAGTTGAAAAAAATAAGATATTAAAAAATTAGAAATAATAAATTTGAAAAACAGAATTAAAAAAAAATGTAAAAAGATATTTATATAAAATAAATAAGTATTTGAAAAAAAAATTATTCTGATAAAATGGCTGTTACCCTTAAAACCCTTTTATTATTAATACGTTTTCCAAAGTTTAATTTATGGATTCCTTTTTTTCAAATTTCAATTTTGAAAACGGAACAAAATGTGTTCTGTGCTTGTGGTAATGATGGAATGAAATTCAATCCATACTCTTATGTTTCTTGTATTTGTGTTTTTTCTTTCTGTCGCAAAGGTTCCCGTGGCTTCTTGGTTCGACGACATGTCTGACACCGAGCTTCTAGACCTCATCCCGTTCTTCGAGAGGCTGAGCAAAGTGGACAACGTCTACACGGTCCTCAAACAACAAGGGACTCCAAGCTAACGGCGTTCGAACCTTCATTTCAGCTCCGAACAAAAAGAAAAGAAAAAAAAAAAAAAAAAAGAAGCAGCGTAGAAACAAACAAACAATTAATCTATATATAGAAAAAAAAAGACGAAAATGCACACAAACCAGCCCACACGGACACAACGCTGCTTCCCACTCTCCCAGAATCAACCCTGCGCCGCCACCTTGTGGCCGAACACGGAACCTCTTTGTAAAAAAAATGATGGCTGAATGTTTGATGCCAGTTTTCCAGGGTCGGAGGACGTGCAGCCATGAATCCTCTGGCCTCCACCTGGGTACTGGACGCAGATCCCTCCACAGGATGCTCCTTCTGACCGATCAGAACGAGTTTACATGAAAACATGCCTGGATCGGTCACTGAAAGGGCAAATGACACACATGCCCCCACACATTGGTAATGACTTTAAAACAGCATTAATAACGCACCACACATCCTTTTTTCTCTATTTTTTTTGTGTGTTTTAAGTAATCAAGGCAGTGTTAAAAAAAACAAAATTTTATTCAGATTCATTACAGCTTGAGCTGTAAGAGTTGAAAATATATTAAAACATAAGTGATTGGACAGCACTTTAATGTTTGATGTGTAGTCTATGGTGGGAATATTCACTGCAATGTTTAAACGATTGTTTTTGCACAATTGGTGCACCAATTTTCGGGGGGAAAAAATACACATGTGAGATATTTTCCTAAAAAAACAGCAGATTTGGTCTGATTAAAGCGTAACGTTGATGCAGGAAGAAGAGCGGCTCTTATTGTTTTTTTTTTTTGGGTGTCCAGTTTAATGATTTATCCGTCATGAGTTAAGAGGACCACGACTACCTTCCGACCTGAAAAAGCAGTCACTGTTAGCTGTGTCTGATTTGTTCCTCACTTTAAACCGCACATAGAACCTGAACTTTATTACTTTATTTTATTATTTTTGGTGTGTTTTTAACTGCGTTTTAACAGACTGTATTTAAATGATAATAGACAGTTCAGTTAGAGTAAAGCGGTAGGCTTGTCATTTTGGTTGCTAATGTTAACTTCACCAAGCGGTACTTGTATGGAGTGTATGATGTTCCATTATTCCCGCAAATTTTTTTAATTTTTTTTTTTATTTACAGTTTTTATATTTTTTCAAATATTATTTTTAAATTTCTCATCTTTACGTTGGCTGATCTAGACAACTTTTACCATGGAGCTAGGCTGAAGCCAGAATAAAACAGGAAAACTAAATAACGAAGAAATTAGTAAAGAAAGCCAAAAAAACTACATTGTAATCATTTACAGATTTATTTAAATCAAAGTAAACCCGTAAATAAAAATTTACCAACCAGTTCCACCTCATATCATCATACAAAACTGATTTTGTATCATTTCTTATTGTATAGGGGCCATAACAGGGGCCAAGATCAGTTCTACTGGGGTACTGGCCCCTTTTAGCCCCTCTATAGAACCACCTTTGGCTTTTAAGGTTGAGTTCTATGAATTTTCAAGTTTTATAAATCATATTCTCTTCCCTTCTTGGGGTGAGATTTCCTCTGGAGTGAGGAGGAGAGGAGACGTATTTTAATCATTAAATGGACATTAGCAACAACGTTTTTATTGGTTAAAAGCGAAGGTTTGTATTAGACTTACTGTAAAGATTTAATAAAACTTAATCTTAAATTAAGATTACGAAGATCTCCACATTTTCATTTCTGGATTCCAGTTTTTTTTTTTTTAGATTTTAAACTTTCAGATCTTGTTCTTTGCTTGCAAAAATAATGGAACAAAATCTACTCCATATATTTGTAGTCAGGATGCACGGTTTTGGGACTTTGTAAGAAAAATGCACCTTTGGGGAGAGCAAAGCCATCAGTAGCTAATAATGGTTCTAATCAGTCCAGATTTTAGGGGTTAATCCTCCTTTTAGCTCTTCAACACTATTGGTTTGTTACTTTTGGATATGAATGGATGTAATGAACTCATAGTGCAGCCATGGTAACATTTTATAGTCATATAGACATTTATATTCCTAAAAAACATCCACTCCTTAAAGTTTTTTTTTTTAGTGTTGCCAAATGCATTCTGGGAAGTGTAGGAAATCCCTACATACAGTTGCTGATGAGGCTTAGCTGATTTAAGGCTGGAGTTTCTGATCTCCACCTCCTTTTGGATCATTTTTATATTGTCTGTTGAGATGAAGAGCGGTGCGGTCTCCCAACAGTCCGCTGTTCAACGTTTTTGCGATGACAATGGCCTGTTAAGACATCGATGAATGAAACCGGCGGCTTGGACTACGAGCCTGGGTCTTCAGGCTCCTGATGGGGCTGGGAGAATAAAGAGCTATTGAATTATTTTTATATGTAAAAAAACTCTTTTCAATCAAGTTTAGGTTTTCAATACTTACCAATTTTCTTTCTTATTTCACTCAGCAGTGGTCATCTGATGAAATATTTATAGTATGTTTTCCAATTAGACTTTTTCTTGCTCTTTTTTTCTTTGAAAGCGTGACATGGTTGGATACCTCATGTTTTGCTAGGCTGTATATGGATCAGAACCACCAGCGACTAAGAATCTAGTATCTTACTGTTTTTTGTTTTAGGCACATAATAACAGGATAACTGTTTGAAAATGTGTTTTCCATGTGTTAGATTAAGAAACGACGCTGATTTGAGTTCATTGGCAAAGTATTTATAGGAACATTAAGTCATTTTGTCTTCTATAGGGGCCCATTTGCTGTTACTGTACTTCTTACACATTAATAGGTTTGTATATGTTATTTTGCACAGTAATAAAAGCAAACAAATTTCATTAATATATATGGAATATTCATTTGACTGTAGATGTAACCTAACTTTTGTTGTTTTTTTCGCACCAAATAATGTCTGACTGTATGTTAAGCTGCCGTTTTCTTTTCCTTACATAAATGCTCAGTGAAAGATGCTCCTATCTTTGCTTTGTGAGGCTTTTTCTGTTCAAGGAGATAATTATTGGGTAAGAGAACTGTCAATTAAAACTTCGACATAAATGTCTGAATTTCTAAATTTATGTATTATGTCAATAGATGTAGGATTTTGTTGTTCCTTGTTTAATTCATGCATACGTGTGGCATTAGCTCTTCATCTGTGAGGATGAAAGTCTAATAGTTATGAATATTAGAAAGTTTCGACTTTTTAATAATTGCAAATACACAAAGTTTCTCAGACTTGTGATTTGTACTCATAGTGTTTTGATTCATAAATTCCTCATAATTTGAGATTTATACCAATAAATTGTTTGATCCATACTCATAAATTTCGAAATTATACTTCAAAATTTGTTATTTTTACTTACAAATTTGGGTTTAGTACTACAAAATTTGTAATTTGTAGTCATACATTTTTTGTTCCGATTCAAAACCGCTTTTCGCACTAGTAAAGTTTCAATTCGTACTCTTACATTTGTAAGTTGTGCTTGTAAATTTTTATTCATTCTCAAACGTTTTTGATAATTTCTCATACATTTCTGATTCCTATACATAAAAATCTTCACTCACACTTATAAATTTGTGATTTATACCAATAAATTGTTTGATCCATACTCATAAATTTCCAAATTATACTTCAAAATGTGTGATTTTTACTTACAAATTTGGGTTTAGTACTACTAAATTTGTAGTCATAAATTTTTGATTCCGCCTCAAAATCGCTTTTCGCACTAGTAAAGTTTCAATTCGTACTCTTACATTTGTGAGTCATGCTTGTAAATTTTATTCATTCTCAAACGTTTTTGATAATTTCTCATAAATTTCTGATTCCTATACAAAAAAATCTTCACTCACACTTATAAATTTGTGATTTATACCAATAATTTGTTTGATCCATATTCATTAATTTCCAAATTATACTCCAAAATTTGTTATTTTTACTTACAAATTTGGGTTTAGTACTACAAAATTTGTAATTTGTAGTCATACATTTTTTGTTCCGACTCAAAACCACTTTTCGCACTAGTAAAGTTTCAATTCGTACTCTTACATTTGTAAGTTGTGCTTGTAAGTTTTATTCATTCTCAAACGTTTTTGATCATTTCTCATAAATTTCTGTTTCCTATACAAAAAAATCTTCACTCACACTTATAAATTTGTGATTTATACCAATAAATTGTTTGATCCATACTCATAAATTTCCAAATTATACTTCAAAATTTGTGATTTTTACTTTCAAATTTGGGTTTAGTACTACTAAATTTGTAGTCATAAATTTTTGATTCCGCCTCAAAATCGCTTTTCGCACTAGTAAAGTTTCAATTCGTACTCTTACATTTGTGAGTTGTGCTTGTAAATTTTTATTCATTCTCAAACGTTTTTGATAATTTCTCATAAATTTCTGATTCCTATACAAAAAAATCTTCACTCACACTCATAAATTTGTGATTTATACCAATAAATTGTTTGATCCATACTCATAAATTTCCAAATTATACTTCAAAATGTGTGATTTTTACTTACAAATTTGGGTTTAGTACTACAAAATTTGTAATTTGTAGTCATACATTTTTTGTTCAGACTCAAAATCGCTTTTCGCACTAGTAAAGTTTCAATTCGTACTCTTACATTTGTGAGTTGTGCTTGTAAATTTTATTCATTCTCAAACGTTTTTGATCATTTCTCATAAATTTCTGATTCCTATACAAAAAAATCTTCACTCACACTTATAAATTTGTGATTTATACCAATAAATTGTTTGATCCATACTCATAAATTTCCAAATTATACTCCAAAATTTGTTATTTTTACTTACAAATTTGGGTTTAGTACTCCAAATTTTTGTAATTTGTAGTCATAAATTTTTTGTTTCGACTCAAAATCGCTTTTCGCACTAGTAAAGTTTCAATTCGTACTCTTACATTTGTAAGTTGTGCTTGTAAGTTTTATTCATTCTCAAACGTTTTTGATCATTTCTCATAAATTTCTGTTTCCTATACAAAAAAATCTTCACTCACACTTATAAATTTGTGATTTATACCAATAAATTGTTTGATCCATACTCATAAATTTCCAAATTATACTTCAAAATTTGTTATTTTTACTTACAAATTTGGGTTTAGTACTACAAAATTTGTAATTTGTAGTCATAAATTTTTTGTTTCGACTCAAAATCGGTTTTCGCACTAGTAAAGTTTCAATTTGTACTCTTACATTTGTGAGTTGTGCTTGTAAATTTTATTCATTCTCAAACGTTTTTGACCATTTCTGATTCCTATACAAAAAAAATCTTCACTCTCACTTATAAATTTGTGATTTATACTAAAAAATGTGTTATTTTTACTTGTATCACTGCAAAGTTCTAACTCTAATTCTTATTTATAACCTTCAAACTTTTATTTTCATAGATGATATGATGTCACATGTATCTTTTAAGTTGTGGAACAAACACAAATCGATCTATTTATATTGCTGACTTTCATCTCCGGATACGGTTTTATTGACAGTTATCTAACCCAGTTGGTAAGACAAACATTAAGAAAATGAAATTATGACAAACTGTAGATACTGTCAGTCAGATTTTTGGGCTCCTTTTGGTCTTTTAATGCAAATACAAACAGAAAGTTACACAAAAATGTGCAGTTGTTGATTTATTGTCTGGATGCTGCAGAACACAAACATTACAGATCTGTGTTGTGAACAAAATGCTGAATAAATGCATTGTT